GTATCCGGATTCATGTATCTAGAAGAATGGGATACGAATGATATATATCCTGGTGTTTCCGGATTCATGTATGTAGTAGATTGGGATACAAGGGATATCCTGGTGTATCCGGATTCATGTATCTAGTAGATTGGGATACAAAGGATATCTTGGTGTATCCGGATTCATGTATCTAGAAGATTAGGATACGAAGGAATCCTGGTGTGTCCGGATTAATGTATCTACAAGATTAGGATACGAAGGATATATATCCTGGTGTATCAGGATTCATGTATCTAGAAGTTTAGGATACGAAGGATATACATCCTGGTGTATCCGGATTCATGAATCTAGAAGATTGGGATACGAAAGATCTATATCCTGGTGTATCCGGATTCATGTATCAAGAAGATTGGGATACGAAGGATCTATATCCTGGTGTATCCGGATTCATGTATCTGGAAAATTGGGATACAAAGGATATATATCCCCGTTTCTGCCCACACACTAAGATAATAGATAGAGACTGGGACGAAAACTTTTTAATACTTAAAGATAATTTTTGTCTAAATATTAGTTATAGTAGTTTAACAAGAAAACAATGATTAATAACGAAAAAATGTTAATAGCTTGTCTATAGTTCGACCCTGAATTTTGAAACCAAGATCTTGTCTCGGATATAGAAAAACTTCAAGGTTCGATTTCTCCGGAACTCCCACTCAAATAATTCATGAGCTGGGCCTACGCACTGCATAGGTTTACTCCGGGTTAGGGCAAGCACTATCTCAGGTTAAGGTTGAGAGTAGGAAGAACACAAACATTTGTAAACATTTTACATTGATACTGCTAGAGAAGGTTTGGGGAGGGGGGTTCCGGGAAGTTACCTACTGTGTAATACTTTATGATTTTTTATTAAATTTAATAGTTTACATTTAATAGTTTACATTTTACATCCTTTTCTATGACAACATCTTTGTTCAGTGCTTTGTTTGTTTTCCAGCTTCCTTGTATAGACAAGGTCAACACTATTAATCCACCTACACACTACTTCATTCATCTTGTGTTAGTCATACCTTCCAACCTTTTCTCTCCTTTACTCTCCATCCAACCTATTCTCTCCTTTACTCTCCATTTAACCTATTCTCTCCTTTTCTCTCCATTCAACCTATTCTCTCTTTTTCTCTCCATCCAACCTACTCCCTCCTTTACTCTCCATTTAACCTATTTTCTCCTTTACTCTCCATCCAACCTACCGTTTCATTTTCTCTCCATCCAACCTACTCCCTCTTTTACTCTCTATTCAACCAACTCCATCCTTTATTCTCCATTTAACTTATTCTCTCCTTTTCTCTTCATCCAACCTATTCTCTCCTTTTCTCTCCATCCAACCTATTCTCTCCTTTTCTCTTCATCCAACCTACTCTCTTCTTTTCTCTCCATCCAACCTATTCTCTCCATTACTCTCCATCCAACCTACTCTCTTCTTTTCTCTCCATCCAACCTACTCTCTCCTTTTCTCTCCATCCAATCTATTCTCTCCTTTTCTCTCCATCCAACCTACTCTCTCCTTTTCTCTCCATCCAACCTATTCTCTCCTTTACTCTCCATCCAACCTATTCTCTCCTTTACTTTCCATTCAACCTACTCTCTCCTTTTCTCTGTATCCAACCTACTCTCTCCTTTTCTCTCCATCCAACCTATTCTCTCCTTTTCTCTCCATTCAACCTATTCTCTCCTTTTCTCTCCATCCAACCTACTTTTTTCTTTACTCTCCATCCTACATACTCTCTCATTTACTATCCATCCAACCTATTCTCTCCTTTACTCTCCATCCAACCTACTCCCTCCGTTACTCTCAATTCAACCTACTCTTTCCTTTACTCTCCATCCAACCTACTCCCTCCTTTACTCTCCATTCAACCTACTCCCTCATTTACTCTCAATCAAACCTACTTCCTCCTTTACTCTCCATCCAACCTACTCCCTCCTTTACTCTCCATTCAACCTACTCTCTCATTTACTTTCCATCCCACCTACTCTATCTTTTACTCTCCATCCTACCTACTCTTTCTTTTACTCTCCATCCTACCTACTCTGTCTTTTAATCTCCATCCAACATACTCCCTCCTTTACTCTCTCATCTATTCTCAATCCAACTTTATTCTTCATCTACTCTTTATCTATAAATGTTCTCTTTTACCTATTTCCTCCGTTGCTCTATTTCTGTTTCTCATAGAAAGTTTGGCAAGCCTCTAATGTAACCGATTGAGTTTCGAACTACAAGATGAGTAACCCTGGATATATTTTCATATTGCGCAACCTCAGGATGATACATGTGTTCACTCCTACACTAGTAAACTATAACATCCTCCTTTCTTTATTTTCTTCCTTCCGTTCATAAACTTTTTTTGACTATAGATTGCATCATTTCTAGGATTCTTTTCTTTATAGAACTTGAAAAAGAATATTTCTGAACTTTTGGACTTTTGAAAGGAATACCACAAATTATCCAGACAGAGCAATCTCTCTTTATTATTACTTTATAACATTAGTACAGAGTTAAAGACATTATGGTTAATGAAAATAATATTTCACTTCTAATCCCATCTGTGCGATCTGTGAGAGAGAACTTTTTCACTTCTAATCCCATCTGTGCGATCTGTGAGAGTGGACTTTTTCACTTTTAATTGTATCCAATCATTCATGTTATTATTCCTGATCCTTTCTTTAATATCTATGATTGTATCCAATCCTTTCTGTCATATCTAGGATATTCTACATATCTAGGATCTTCAAACCATATTCAAAATCTAGTTTATCCAAACCATATTCTATATCTAGGTTATTCAAATTATATTCTGTATATAGGATACTCAAATTATATTATATATCTAAGATTCATACTATATTTTATATATAGGATGTTTAAACTATAATTCTATATCTAGGATATTCAAACTATATTTTTATAAAGGATATTCAAACTATAATTCCATATCTAGTATATTCAAACTATATTATATATCTAGGATATTCAAACTATATTCTATATCTAAGATATTCAAACTATATTATATATCTAGGATATTCAAACTATATTCTATATAAAGAATATTCAAACTATATTCTATGTTATTCAAACCATATTCTAGATCTAGGATATTCAAACTATAATTCTATATCTAGGTTATTCGAACTATAATTCTATATCTAGGTTATTCTAATTTTATTCTTATCTAGGATATTCAAACTATATTCTACATCTAAGATATTCAAACTATATTCTATATCTAGGATATTCAAACTATATTCTATATCTAGAATATTTAAACCATAATCTATGTATAGAATATTCAAACTATATTCTTTATCTAGGATATTTAAACTATATTCTATATCTAGGATATTCAAACTATATTCTATAACTAGGATATTTAAACTATATTCTATATCTAGGTTATTCAAACCATATTCTATATCTAGGATATTTAAACTATATTCTATATCTAGGATATTCAAACTATACTCTATATCTAGGATATTCAAACTTTATTCTATATCTAGGATATTTAAACTATATTCTATCTAAGTACTCTCTAAGTATATTTAAAAATAGACTACTAAATTCTCTTTTTGAAAATTATAGGACAATGTGTTAAAAACCGAATTGCTATTCATGTAAAACTAATTAGATATGTTTTAATATGCTTTGATATTTGTTGTGTACATGTCTGAAAATTACTTTAAACTCTAGTTATTCGGATTTATGTATAAACTATTTTGCATATGATAAATTCGCACCCTGATCTCTAATCGTTCTCCTTAAATCTATTTAATTGAAATATTTTGTTATTGTTACTAACATTAGGGGGAAAAAATAATCAAAACAGCCAAGAGCTATTTTCCACCTAATTGCTTTATACTTGTACTGTTAATATAATCATCAATTTTGTGATTGTAAACTCTATCTGTATACAGATACATTTATCTTAGCAATAAACTTTATCTTATCTAAGATATTCAAACGATATTCTATATCTGGGATATTCAAACTATATTCTTTATGTAGGATATTTAAACTATTTTCTATATCTAGGATATTCAAACTATATTCTATAACTAGGATATTTAAACTATATTCTATATCTAGGTTATTCACACCATATTCTATATCTAGGATATTTAAACTATATTCTATATCTAGGATATTAAAACTATATTCTATATCTAGGTTATTCAAATTATATTCTTATCTAGGATATTCAAACTATATTCTACATCTAAGATATTCAAACTATATTCTATATCTAGGATATTCAAACTATATTCTATATCTAGGATATTCAAACTATATTCTATATCTAGAATATTTAAACCATAATCTATGTATAGAATATATTCAAACTATATTCTATATCTAAGATATTCAAACTATATTCTATATCTAGTATATTCAAACTATATTCTATATCTAAGATATTCAAACCATATTCTATATCTAGGATATTCCGACTATAAGCTATAACTAGGATATTCAAACCATATTCTATATCTAGGATGTTTAAACCATATTTCATATCTAAAATATTTTTTGCTATATTTCATATCCGGAGATATCGAACAAACTCTTATTCCTTGTAAATCTTATAGACGTTGCGTCAATCTTGGAACTAGGGATAATTTGGATATCAATACGAATAAAGAACTCGAGTCCTTATTTTGCATATTTTATTCAGTTTTGGTGAATTTTTCGATCATTTTATTCAGTTCCTGCGGGATGTCGAATAATTATTGAGAAACCTCTCAATTCAACGCCTCTCTAAATCCGCCTTGGTCCGAATTCCTAAATATTGGCCAATAGCATCCCACACTGCTTTTCAGGCCTATTCCTCAGACAAGCAGGGACAGAATTAAATAAAGGGCCTGAAACAGCTGCGCTGACAGCTGTAGTGACAGCTGTAGTGGCGCCAAGCTGCGCTTTGCGAAGGAAAGTGAAACCGGCGTGACGCAGGATACTCAGTTTATCCTTAACCGCAGTCTGGAGTGGTATCATCAACCACTTCTGCGTATACTTGCGTTCAAGCGTTAGTAGTGAAATAGTGAATAAACAAAAAAAACATAATTATACAACATGAGGTATTATTATATTATTATAAATATTTTAGAACAAAACTGTTATTTTGAATTAAAAAATTTAAGGCAATTTTTTGTTTGCACCAACTCCTTGGTTAATGTGAATGCTTTAATTAAGTTTTAGTTACAAACAAATTGGGTGTATCTAACAGTCTTAGTTTAGATTTTGTTTGGGTTTGATAAACAAAACAAACGCATCCTAAAGGTTGTAATTACTATTGTTGATTATAGGTTTAATTATTGAGCTGTTTACAGATAATTTAGGTTTAGCTAATAAATAATTGATATTTTAATTGACAAAAAGAATTAATTTTTGAGTCAGGTATATGATTGTTATGATTATTTGTATTTTTAACATTCGCCTTCAAAAATAAAAGGATAACAAATTTTCGGCGGAAATCATTTCTAACGCTTATATGATCGAGTAATAAGAAACAGAAATTTTTCGTTGGTTATTTTAAAAAAATGATTTAAAATACCATCTTAAAAACTCTTTTTCAAATTATCTTTTCAATGGAGTGTGAAAGTAACATAAATAACTCTATGTATTTGACTAAAGCTGTATAGAGTATAGGATGGAGGAGGACTGAGGGATGATGAAAGGAAAATAAATAAATGATCGATGAAGATTCTCGAAACTATAGATCTATTCTCAATTCGACTCACGACCCGGAGCTCCGTGAAATCTCAATCTTTCTTCAACCTAATCATCTTAATTCTTTATAATTTCTCACATTTTTATACATTTACGAGTCTTTAGAGCTATAAGTTTCTAATTCTTATATTTTCGTCCTAAAAAAATCTTGTTTTATAAAGGATGTTGAGGACATTTGTTTAAATGATCTGAAAATTAAAAGTAATAAGAAAGTAATTAAATTTTCCGACCTAATTTTTGTGTTTCTTAAAAACTATCTTCCTCCAAAAATGTTCTTTTACTGGAATTAGAATCAAAAGTCTTCAGAAATTGAGACGAGTAATTTTACTATAAAACCAAACTAAGCCCATCTAGGAGAATTTTGTCAACAATTAAAACGCCTTGAAACCATTCTTTGAATTGTAAACTAGTCTTTGCCACAAACTCAAATATTCAAACCCCTATATCTTTGGAACCTGATGTTGTAAACCTTTGATATTTCAAACTTAGAATATTTGATCTAACAGAATTCATGGCTTGAAATATCTAGGGTCTACAACATTTGGTTGCAAAGATATAGAGATTAGAAAATTAGAAGTTGTGGCAAAGACTCAATTCCTTTCTGCGACATAACTGGTACTACTTTGTGACCTCGCAGTATGAGAAAACAAGTTTATCTAGTTTCATAGTAGGTTTCAATCTTAGATTCAATTTACTTTAGTTCAACGTGTGTCCCAAACTTGTTTTAAAGGGAGTAACCGGCTATGTAAGGTAGTTGAACAGAGTGTGCAGTGTTGTGGAAAACTTCTTTCGGATTCATTTGAGACATAATAAACTTTTTAAAGATCTGTAAATCCTGAGTTTGAGCGCAAATGCGACGTTTAAAACTCTTACTTTGGAGGTGGATACGTTTTCAGAATTGGTTTTTTAAAGAAAATAAAAATTAATCTTATCTTCGAAAATAAGTAATCTTGTTTAATTATTAGTTTCAATTTTCTCATTATTTTGGTTTCTCATTATTCACAAAGATTTTGAAGAAATCTGCGAATAAATTCAAAAGAAGATAAGAAATTCAATATAATAATGAAAACGAAATAATCGATTTCAGCATTAATTTATTGAGAAATTTCTTGTGAAAAATATGTTCCTAACCAGCTAATTAGATTACTGTATGATTTTTACTTTATTTTTCGATGTCGTTATTTAATAATTTAAAAAAAACTAATTCTGAAAACGTATCCACCTCCAAAGTAAGAGTTTTGAACGTCGAATTAGTTCTCAAACTTAGGATTTACAGATCTTTAAAAAGTTTTACATGTTTCAAATGAATCCGAAAGAAGTTTTCCTCTTCACTGCATACTCTGTTCAACTACCTTACATAGCCGGTCACTCCCTTTGAAGTAAAAAGTATGGATTGATGAATAACTGCTGAATAAAATGAGAACACTAAAGATTCTTTTGGAACTTAAGTACAATATACATTGTATAGTGTGTAATGTGTATACATTATATTGTTATAGTAATAGAAGGACAAAACTATTTTCAATTTTTATAATGTATAACCGTATAAAATCTCTTATCTCATAATCAGGCATAAAATCAAAATTAGAGTAGCTACGATGTCACAAAGTCTTAGGAGTAATGATGCAAAAATTTTACCTTTAAACATTTTTTAAAGGAAGTGAATCTTTGTCACAAACTCTAATTTCTATATATTTGCAATCCAATGTGTCGTAAACCTTAGATATTTCAAACTATGATCTCTTCAAGATCAAATAATCTAAGTTTGAAATATAAAAGGATTTCCACCAATAGGTTGCAAAGAAATAGGAATTAGGAAAATTAAGGCTCAATTCTTTTGATCTCATCTTGTTTTGTTTATCATAAATTTTCAGTTTGATTTAAGGGTTATTTTAATTAGACTCCTTAATAAAGTGTGTTAGCAAATTAAATTAATATTTATTGATTATATCCCAGACGCCTGTTATTAGGTTGGACATGACTCAATTATTTTTGTTTAGGTCCTCGGTTTGGTTTCTCAGTATATTCTGTTTAATATCCTGTTCTCTGGGAGACTCTGAGCTGTCAGCAGAGCATCTGGATGTAGAACACAGAAACGGAAAATCTGAACCATTCCTGGACCGAATCGCCTCACTTTTTACCGGCGGGGCCGAGGAGGAATCGGAAAAACGACCGGTACGACCCATAGGGCCTGTATACCGACAGCCAATCCGTAAACAAGCTACGGCGGGTTCTCTACAAAGGCCGATCGCTGTTCCCCCGCCGCAGTCGTTTAATAAATATCCTCCAACTCCCCCTAGGATAGGATCTAGTGCTAGTAATCTATCCCCAGTTTCACAACCAGGTAAATCAAACTTGATTTTTATATCATTTAGATAATCGTAATATGCGTAAAATGATTTTGAAAATATATATGTAGTTGCAACCTTACAATATTATTTTATCCTTATGAAGATATATCAGTCTATAAATACACTTGATGCCCGTGGGATTAAAAACATTTCGATTAAAAAAAAGATATTTTTACCAACCCCCCAACCCCCCCTAATACCAATGGGTTCCCTCAAAAAATGTCAGCCAATTTGGTTCAGGTGTTTGGTTAGCATATAAATAAATATTTTAATATATATATATATATATATATATATGTATATATACATTTATACATATACATATATATATGTGTGTGCGCGAAGAGCTTTATTATAAAGAAGATATGTTTACTACACAAACAAATAAATGTATTAAAGTTTAAATGAGTTCTTGTCTCAAAATTAAATTTTCTAATCCTCATATTTTTGCAACCTGATGGTGTGAACATTTAAAATTTCAAACTTATACTGTTAGATCTAATAGAAATTATCGTTTTAAATATCAAGGTCTACAACATCGGGTTGCAAAGATATAAGGATGATAAAATCTGAGTTTGTTGCAAGTTCTCAGTTCCTTGATGGCTTGAAAACGCATTGTATTCTTCCTAATTGTTTAATATATAACAGGTACAGCTTTGTCAACATTTATATCACTTTAAGCTGTATTGTATGCAGTTATTCTTTAGTTCTGCGAATACAATTGCAGAAATTGCAAACATTGCAAACCCTCTCTAAACCTTGACAAATATCTCTTTATCGTCTTGAATCACCTCCCCCCCCCACCCCCTTAAATCTAACCCCCTCAACCTTTTAGAATAATTTCACAAGAACATTAAATTTTCGCGCATTCCCTCCTAATGTGGGAATTCACCCTGAAAAAACTCATGTATACTTGACCCGGGACATATTTAATATTTAACATCAAATATCAGGACATAAAACAGATTTTAAAAGATAAAAATATAAAATTACAGAATTTTAAAACTAATGCTCACTCACTATAAAAAGCAACCTTGGTTTTAATTTCAAGTCATCGGCATCGTCATTTTAAATAAATCTTTATATTAATCAGGAAAGAAACATTTGTTTCTGTTTATTTAGAATAAAAACAATTTTTTTCTCTTTTCAATCAGAATATATATTCTATTAAAAAACAAAAAAATTCTGTTTAATCAGAATAAAACCTTTTTTCATTTTAAAAAATAGTAATCTTTTTTCCGTTTAATCAGAAAAGAAACATAAAGAATAGAGACTTTTTTTCCGGTTCATCAAAATAGAAATACCTTTTCTGCAATTCACAATCTACAAGTAATTTATTATTATTTTTCTATTTTGTCCTACTTTTCTGAACCTTACGTCGAATAAATCAAATTCAATGAATTGAAAATTCCCTTTTCCGTTATTTAAACTTATTGTACTGTTCTTCTTCCTTCATGTAATCTTTCTTAAACAGTTTTTGATTTTAAACAATCCCCCCCCCCCCCCCGACCCATCACAACATTAGATATGCTTGCTAACACAATCTTACATTGATTCAATTCTCGTACTTGATATCAAGATTCAAAACAGGGATCTAACATCCTCATTCCTCAGTGTAAAAAAAGTATCTATAATTAAATCTTTTAATGTTAAAGTACATATGTTTATTGGTTCATATGCTCTGCATATTGAACATGTGATAATTAGATATATTAGATATTAAAACATATTTTTTCTAAACATTATCTAGGGTTTAAAGCAACTTAATTCCAAATTGTTTGGAATTCTAGTTTAATTTAGCAGTTTCCAAAGCAAGAAGTTTTTCAAGGCAATATGTGTATGCATATTAAAAAATAAAAATCTGGATCACACTGATTTAAAAGTTTGGTGCGACGACTTTCGTTGACAATTTGAAATATTTTTTGGATTTTTATATTTTATATTTTTTTGTTGGTGGCCATGCCAAAACACGATTGAATTCAAATTGAAGAAGCTGAATACATCTCGCCCTGGTTAGTACAGGGTGGGATTGTATGCTACACAGTGTAAGATGTATACGTAAGTGAGATTTAATGAGAGACTAATCCTTTATTATGCGATGATATTACGCCACACACCATGCTGCGTTAAAATCACCAGAAAATGGTGTGTCAGGGGATTTATATTTTGCAAAATATTTTCGGAAATATCAAATGAAATATTTAAATTTTTTTCTTGTTAATAAATATTGTTACTTTTCCCTTTAAACAATATAATGCTTCCAACCTTATTAATATCATTTAAGAATAGTTTGTTTTGGTTAAAGGCAATTTTGAAAAGTGTAAAAAAATGGAGAGAAAAATTAGACCTGGTTATATGAGAATTTGTGGCGTAGAGGTCACTTCTTCACTCGAGACTTTTTGTGGTTGAAAACCGGAGATTCCGGAGTAAATCACGATACAAGGAAACCAATTCCTCAGGTATAGGATAGCTAGTGTATAGGCGTATGGTTGCAGGAGTTAAAGGGTTGGAGAACCCCAGGAGTGCAGGTTTCGGGATAGCAAGCTACAAGGATTGTATGGTTGCAGGCACCAGAGTTGAAGGGTTGTAGGGTTGGAAAGCACTAGGATTTTATGGTTGCGGCGCAAGAGTTGAAGGGTTGTAGAGTTGGAAAGCACCAGGATTGTATGGTTGCAAGCACCAGAGTTGAAGGGTTGTAGGGTTGCCCCCCTTTTGAACCTGTGTGCCCCTCCCCCCTTCAGTTACGGGCCATGTCTGTATATCTGGTTATAAAACCAGGACACCCTGAAGAGTCTGAATACATGTAGATGTAGTTTTACATCTGCAAGACAGCTAACATGATAAGATGTATAGATCTCGAGTTTAAGTTTTAACTTTTACATGATATGTATTTTCTAAATGGCTCTCAACTCACTTTCCTTTGTTCCTTTTTTTATGTTTTGATTCCTTTTAACGTCACAGTTTTTATTGCTTTTTTAATAAAGTTGAATGTTCATATCTTTGGTAAACAGCTTAACCATCTTCAGCATAGCTTTAAATGTTCCCAATAATACTTTGAATTCAGCATATTTCAATACGCCCTTCAGACGTCCTTTCATACCTTAAGAAACATTTATTTACATGAGGGAAAATGGGGTCGAAAGCTCCAACTTGGTGAGATTAGTCCCCGGCCAACGATTAGATCTGCGTGGGCCTGCAGTTCAGTTTTCTCTCATGAAGCTAAAGTTTACTTGCAAAATATTATATCCTTAAGGGGTTCTTATCTTAATTGAAGGTTTTTAAAATAGGTGCACGGACTACATATATGTTTAAAAATAACGGGATTACTTGATGCATTTGCATCACACTATGCATACATTCGGGGCGAGTGAATAGTACAATTAAGGTTCAATAAGATCAGATAGTTTGTGAAAAATAGAAAAAATCGCAAAAAAAATTTAATTTTTATATTTCTACACTCTAGAGTAGCCAGTTATATCAAAAATAAGATAATATTATTATTATTCTCATTTTCACTCATGGACCCGCAAAAAGGCTGCCAAAAAGCTAAAACTTTTGGCGGGAAAAATATCTAGAAACCTGTTGAAATTTTTTTTAATGATAATTAAAAGTGAATATATAATTAGAGTTGCTTTGTTCACACTAATTAGTTGATTGACTTTGTGTGAACTTAAATTTATTTAAATATACCGCCCCCACCCCCCAGCTACTAATTTAATGTTCTGCTTTGCACTGGAACCACTGATGCGAAATTATATATATATGATTTTTATCTCATCAAGTATGAATTATCTAGATATCAAAGTTTATTACTTTGAAAACTGATTATTTTCAATTTGATTTCTCTATAAAAGCAACTTGCGCGCATTTCTACATCAGGAAAACATATAGGAATTGTATGAATTAAATACTTAAAATTAAAGTTAGAAAACGGCAAGTCCATTTTAAATTAAGAAAGAGTCAGCTGGCATTTTATGCCTAATCTTTGCATGTCTAATTATAAAGTTAAAGAAACTAATAAAAAATAGGGTTTTTCATTCGAGAAAACTGTTACAAAATTGTAATCTTTAACCTCCTCTAAAAGATAAATATTTAGATCTTTAAAAAAGAAAGTATAAAAACTGAGTACTTTCCACCGTTTTTTTACTGTTGTTTTCCGTACTTTCCACCGTGTTTTTACTCTTCTATTCCTTCTCTTTTTTTGGCTTTATACGTATGTACATTGTACAGTAAATTTGCAAATAGCATGTGAATATAATACTCAACAATTTTACACATTAAGTAAATAAAGATTTAGTTCTAGCATTTTGTAGGTACGTATACTATTTATATAGAGACCACACAAGTAAGCTAATGGAATTCAAATAATACCTTTTTTTTCTTCATTCCTTTATCTATACTTTACCCTCTGTATTTAGTTTTAAATTACTTAATTTTCTATTGTAACCGAAGTGGAATGCGTAAATTTTCTTTGCCTAACTATTTTTTAATGTTAAGGAATTTAGAATCCAATATCAGAGACATTAAAGATTTAGGGAATCATATATAATTTCACTTTTACAGGGTGAATCGTTTATTTAACACAATTTTCAACATGTACATTTATATATACATATATAATTATATATATGCAAATGAATAAAAAGTATCTAAAAATACAAATAATATCAGTGTGCTTTACATACATCAATAAATACACATAAATACACGAGTACATTCAGAGTGAGAACCAGAAAACAATGTAAAACAATATAGCAAGTATTTTATGTTGTTACAAAGCAAATAGTTTAAATCTAAATTTAAATAAATTACTTATTAAGTGAAATGGGTTTGTTTACACTGCACTATTGCTAGGTCTCAGGCTCGTTTGACTATTTAAAGTCATAAGTCTATTCTAAAAGTCGTCTTCCTATTCCAGAGGTTTTAAGGTTCTCACATAAATACCTGAAAACATATGTAAAATGGTTAAATTTATCCTTTTCCAGCAACGTTTGGATCCGGAGCCGGATTTGGTGCTGATCCTTGGCAGATAGCTCAACCTGCCAATATGGCACAGATCAAGGTATAGGAAGGATAAATAGCTGAACCTGCCAATATGGCACAGATCAAGATATAGGAAGGATAAATAGCTCATTCTGCCAATATGGCACAGATCAAGGTAAAGGATGGATAAATAGCTCAACCTGCCAATATGGCACAGATCAAGGTATAGGAAGGATAAATAGCTCAACCTGCCAATATGGCACATATAAAGGTATAGGAAGTATAAATAGCTCAACCTGCCAATATGGCACAGATCAAGGTATAGGAAGAATAGCTCAACCTGCCAATGAGGCACAGATCAAGGTATAGGAAGGATAAATAGCTCAACCTGCCAATATGGCACAGATCAAGGTATAGGAAGGATAAATAGCTCAACATGCCAATATGGCACAGATCAAGGTATGGAAGGATAAATAGCTCAACCTGCCAATATGGCACAGATCAAAGAATAGGAAGGATAAATAGCTAAACCTGACAATATGGCACAGATCAAGGAATAGGAAGGATAAATAGCTCAACCTGCCAATATGACACAGATCAAGGAATAGGAAGAATAAATAGCTCAACCTGCCAATATAGCACAGATCAAGGTATAGGAAGGATAAATAGCTCAACCTGCCAATATGGACAGATCAAGGTATAGGAAGGATAAATAGCTCAACCTGCCAATATGGACTAATCAAGGTATAGGAAGGATTAATGGCTCAACCTGCCAATATTGACTAATCAAGGTATAGGAAGGATAAATAGCTCAACCTGCCAATATGGTAGTAATCAAGGTATAGGAAGGATAAATAGCTGAAACTCAATCAATATTACATATATATGAATTGTGTACAGATAAATCTAATATATATTTGTGTCTAGGATCTACAAGTACAATGTGAGAAGGATTTAATGAGAGTCCGAGTTCAGTTTGACAGGAAACTTGAAAATTCAGATTTATAACATTTTTTAAAAATTATAATTTTTACCATGAGATTTAATGTTTTAACGACAAGCTAAACTATAAAAGCTAAGCGAGTTAATACCAAATAAATTAAGATTGGTGTGAAAATGATCCTGCCTGGGTTAAAATTTTATCAGAAAATTTGAGTTAGGAATCTTATCGTGTAATTTGTTCAACTAAATTAATGCTAACAAAGGTGGAGACCTGACAATTATTGATTTATTACAGTATTATGATTTACAACCTTTAATACAATAATTCATTTATATACATGCATACATCAAAAAATGATTATTTTCCGGAACTACCTTCGATATTTCAAACTTTGATCGTTTGATATAATAGAAGTCATAGTTTGAAATATCTAAGGTCTACAACATTGGGTTGTTAAGATAAAGGAATTTAAAAATCAGAGTTTGTGGCAAAGAATCAATTCATTTTCCAGGATTCATTTGAAACATATGAAAAGGTTTGATGATGTTATAGTTATTGATTTTGAGCGAAAAGTCGACGCTAAAAATCATCCATTTGGGTGGTTATGTTTTAAGAATCGATTTTTTAAAATTATTAAATAACGACGACAAAAAACGTATCAAAAATTCGACAGTAAACTAATTAGATGTTTTGGAACATATTTCTCAAAAAAAAAATTTCATTAAATAAATGTTCCAATCAACTAATTCTTATTTTATCATTATATTAAATTTCTTATTCTTTTCAAATTTGTTCGCAGATTTATTCAAATTCTTCAAATGTCATCTTTTCAATAAAAATTCGAGAAAAGCTACAGAAAATGTTTGTGAACAATGAGAGATTACAGAATCTAATAATTGAATAAGATTACTTATTTTCGATGATAAGAGTTGATTTTTATTTTATCAACCTTTTCCTAAGCAACTAATTAGTTTACCGTAGAATTTTTGTTACATTTTTGTCGTCGATATTTAATAATTTTAAAAAACCGATTATCAAAACGTACCAAGCCAAATTGATGATTTTGAACGTCGACTTTGCGATCAAACCCAGTAATCATAGATCTTTGAAACGTTTTATATTTCTCAAATAAATCCTAAAAAGTTTCTCCACAATACTACATTCTCAGTTCAACTACCACACATTGCCGGTCACTTTCTTTAACATTTGTAATTTACTGATTTTTTGTGGATATTTACTCAAAACCAAACTGTGAATTTTCGTGTTTGTGATTTAGACCGTTCTACGGTATGGTGTTCAGCAAGGGTCATTACAGTAACATAAACTGTGTTCATGTTCCCTCAGGACTAGGACAGACACAAGCTACATTCGACATAGCTATGGGACAGGTAGACATAAAGACACCAAAACATATATAATAAATAACAGAGATCCAAAGGTTGCAAGCTGTCACGCTAAAATCAAAAAGAACTTTTCTAATTACTTATTTTAAAAAAGGCTAAAAACAAGTGCGATATATATAGAGTGAAATGTGCATGTCTAGAGTTTAAAAAAGTGACTTAGTGAGGTAACATCCAAGTTGCGACACTTCAATTTGGACCCAGTCTTAAAAATTTATTAAACTTTTTATAAAAGTCTGGATCTATGTGAAGTATTACATATAAATATATATATTACGTATATTTGTATAGTGTGGAATGAGTACAGGAGGAAGTTCTGAAAGCTACAACGGATCTCCTAACCCTCAGGTATTCAAATCTAAAAGAAACCACCAAAAAAACCAGAAAATAGAATCCCTAAAGTTTGTAAAAATTTTACTCTACATGTGATACTTAAGTAAATTGCACGGTAGATTGAAATTATGTTTTTAATCATATCTCATCTTATTTAAGAGCTTTTGAAAAGAACAAAATTGTCTTTAATTTAGTTTGTAAACCTAGCTACGAGGTCACAAAGTCAGAACATGTAGCATTGACCTTCTCCTTTTGAAATAGTTTTCAGTGTCTAATGTTTAGGGTTCCTATATAGAGAATACTGTCATTGTCCAGTATGATCCTCTGCTCCAGGAAGTTTGGGATCAAGCCAGGAAGATCAGATGTACTTGGTAATTTTTTCATCTTTCTCAAATCAAATCGATCCTTAACTTCCATTTTGATTTAGAAGAAAGGTCAACGCTTGACTATCAAGGTTTGAAGGATCAATGAGCAATAAATCATGATTTAAGTAAAAGTGTAAAAAAGTACACAAAATTGCCTATTTTACTTTGGGTTCTTTAAGAAAAAAATTCAGCAAAGGTCCAGCTGTTTGGCCATCTATAGCGAGCAAATATATTATATACGTATGTGTATGTGTATATATGAAAACCAAGAAGTCTACATAGTTTAAATTCTTTCACTAATTATTGGTTCTTTCCATAAAACCCAATTTAAACAAAAATCATTTTTAACATTTAATATTTAATTCTAAACTTTTATTAATTATAACTCAATCCTCTTTCCAGCCATTTTTAGCATATGGTAGTTATTTCATTCTTATTTTACTTTTCACATATGTAGAGAGTTATTAAGACTCTTTGTTTTGATAAGTAGAAAAGTAGATAGATAGATAGATATTTTGATGTTTTTTGTACATGTAGATAGATAGATAGTTAGATAGATCGATAGATAGATATAGCAGATGTTTCAATATTAAGTAACGTGTTGCCTTGAGGAAACCTTTAACCAACTGCACGGTCTAGAGGGTCATTGTATTCAAAACAATGAAAACTGAACTGTGTTGAATACTCCTGATCGTTTGATCTCGATATCCACTGTGGGTAATTTTAATTTGAAGATCTATATAGTTGTAAAACTATATCTTTCTATATCTTCAATATTGTTATTTCTTCCCTGATCATTCAAAACTTACTTCAACCACTGACGGGGTTCGAATACAATGCGGGATATCGAATAAATGAAAAATTAATTTGCAAATTATTAACTAAAGATCAAGCATTGATTTTTACAATACAAGAGTTCCTAGCTCAGAACCCAAAGTATGGAACAAAATTCCTGTTTTACAATACAAGAGTTCTTAGCTCAGAACCCAAAGTATGGAACAAAATTCCTGTTTTAAAATACAAGAGTTCCTAGCTCAGAACCCAAAGTATGGAACAAAATTCCTGTTTTAAAATACAAGAGTTCCTAGCTCAGAACCCAAAGTATGGAACAAAATTCCTGTTTTAAAATCATCAAAAATTTCACGATTTATGTGTACCATCACGCATTATTATTACTGTAAAATTAGTTTAAAATAACATAACAAAATAACAAATTTAATCATTAACCACACTTCAGAAGAAATCGAAAACTTTTGGAAAATATATATTAACATTTTATCAAATATTATGAACACTTAATTTTTAAACACTTAATTTTCTTTTCGTTATTTAGAATGAAATATTTTGGCTTCTTTTTACAGGGATATAAAGTAAAATATCCATTAAAGGGATATAAAGTAAAATATTCATTAATGGGATATAAAGTAAAATATTCATTGAAAAAAATATTGTTTTTTATTTATGAAGTGTTTTCGTAAAGATTATATATGAGGGTACCTTTATACATTATAGACATCTTGTCCTCATTTTTCTATTGACATACATAAAAACTTTCGTATGCAATATTTACAGAATACAATTTCACTTTTTTATTCACATTTTTAAAGTAATCTGCGTGTATCAGCCTGAGCATAATTCCTTTACGAGTTTTATGCACACATATTTAAAATGGCGCGCAGATTTATATCTGAAGGAGTTATTGGGTCTTTGCCACAAACTAAAATTTAATAGTTCTTATATCTTTAAAACCACATGGTGTAGACCTTAGATATTTTAAGCTATGAATTCTGTTAGATCAAATTCTCTAAGTTAGAAATATCAAAAGTTTACACCATCAGGTTGCAGGGATTTTTTTTTGAAAATACTCAAACCCTTAATCAGATTTAGAATAAGAAAAATGATAGTCTTAAATCCAAGAAATATTCAAAATATTAGATGATTATTGGCTTGTCAAGCCTCAAAAGTCAATCCTTATCCTGGTACAATCTAGTAAAACTATTGCTTTGTAACAACAGCAAATACACTGCAGTATTACTATAATTTCGTCTTCCTCTTCCATTGCTTTCTGGTTCTCACTGTACTTGCCTCCTAGTCCTGTCTGTCTACTGAGTGTACTTTTTAATTATGTTTTTGCGTCAGCACCCAGCACCCTTGCAGTTCATTGATTTAATTGATTAAACCCAGTTTGAATCCTTGGCGAGATATATACACTTTCTCCATCAGGGTTAAACAGCTCTGGTTTAATCCTTACAATCAATTATCTTATACTATGTGCTAATGCATTGAATTGCATTAGAGGCTATATATGTGTGCATTGCGCAAACTGCACTTGAATTATATATCTAGAATATCCAGCCCATACAGGGTGTCCCACGAAACATGACAGTTGGTGAATATTTTTGAATTTCTTCTTTCATATAATGTATTAAATATTCAAGACTTTTTGCAGTTTATTTCGTTTAATCTTTTACTCAAATCTTTTACTCAAATTTATTTGACTTTGAAATCAATTTTACTACAATATTTCTCCCGAACAATATTTTTAATAATTATCTTTGGTATCAAACTACTTAACAAATTATTGAAAAAGATGTTTTAAACTATTCACCAACTGTCATGTTTCGTGGAACATCCTGTATATCAAGTAGATCTTAAAAAGATAAAAAATAAAAAAGGTTTAATAAAAAGATCTATTGGGGACTGTAGACGTTGTTTTTAAGTTTTATAAAGAGGCATAGTCGATTCACAACGGTATAATGATAGAGTTACATCTGATTGCAAAAATATCAGAATATCAAATGCCAAATGATCAAAACTCTTTAAATGATAAAAAAAATGTACGCTAAACAGTTAGGACAACTATTGTACGCTAAACAGTTCGGACAACTATGTTGTTCAAAAATATCATAACAACAATTTTACGATAAAGTTAATTTTAAAGTTTAAGGTATTCTTAAACATATTTTTATGATAAAACGTCTGTAAAATGCAAGCTCTTTTTTACAAGCAATCTATTTTTTCTTCTTTCTCTTCTATTTTCTTCTCTTCTCCTTTCTTCTCTTCTTTTTTCTTCTCTTCTCTTTCCTTCTTTTTTCTTCTATTTTTTCACCTCTTTTTTCTTATCTTTTCTTTTCTTCTTTTTTTCTTCTATTTTTTCATCTCTTTTTTCTTATCTTTTCTTTTCTTCTTTTTTCTTCTATTTTTTCATCTCTTTTTACTTATCTTTTCTTTTCTTCTTTTTTTTTTTTTTTTTTTCTTCTCTTTTTACTTATCTTTTCTTTTTTTCTCTTCTCTACTCTTCTGTTCTCTCTTTTCTTCTCTTCCCTGATCTCTTATCATCTCCTCTTTGTTTTCTCTTTGTTGTTGAGATGAACATTGCAGTACGATCCGTTCTTATGATTTTTCTCTGACTTGTTTACATTTCTAGCTTGTAGACCTAATTGAAACATACTGCGTTTGTACTTCATAATTAGGCATTTGATAAAATTTGGCATTTGATGTTTTGATATTTTTGTATATCTGATCTTCTTCTATATCTTCTTTTATTTTGCGGTTTCTCTATAAAAGTGACTTGTGGGTTTCTAACTTCAGAAACAATGGAGAAGATAGAATATTGTTAAAATTCAAGCTAGGAAAACGACGGTATCTTCCACATCATTAATCTGATAAAAGCTTAAAGGATACCGTTGTGAGTCAGGCATACCCGTCTTTTTTAAATGGAGGGTCACTTGAAATGTCTGTATGAAGCTAGCTATTGTTTAACCTTTACAATACATCTGATCATTGTACATCTAAGATTGTGTGACCTGTATAGTGTATACTATATTGCCTATAGTGTTGTCAGTAAAATATTTTAAAATCACCATGTGTTTGCAAGGTTGCAATGTTGTCATACTATTCACACAACTTCCCATGCACTTTGAATAGACATCGTAAGATACTAATGTACATAACTTTCTAAAGACGAAAGGTTTTATCTCATAGTTGAGCAAGGAAAGAATGGCAGGGAATGAATCCAACGTATCATATCATTTCATTATCTGTCCAAATCATGAGTGATCTTTTTCAACTCAGTCCAAAAATAAAAAGAAATCGTTTACGCATTAAAAAACCCCACTTACCTTCACTACTATACTCTAGTTTAGTGTAGAGTACACTAACCTTCTCTACTTTACTCTAGTTTAGTGTAGAGTACACTTACCTTCTCTACTATACTGTAGTTTAGTGTAGAGTACACTTACCTTCTCTACTACACTCTAGTTTAGTGTAGAGTACACTTACCTTCT